ATAAATTAAATATATTTACTCTGTAATATTTTAAAGCAAAGAAAAAACAAGAACAAATTTAATAATTGTACGAAGAACTGATTTCTGATCAGACACTGCAAAAATCAGGCTTCTCAAAATAAGTAAAACAAATACTAGACTGGAGCCTTATTCTTTTCAAATTAATAATGATTAATAATCTGCAGTTTGACAGTTGCACTTGGTAAGACTTCTTGAAGTTAAAAAAAACTTTTCAGATTAACAAGATTAATAATCCAACATATTGTGATCTTGTTTAGTATATGGGTCTAAAAACAAGATCAAAAATACGTTTTAGCTGATATAAGACTGTAAAACATGGTTAGAGGAACATTTTTCTGCAGTAAAATGACTTTACTGCTCAAAAACACTAACAGATTAAATAAGCTTCACTTTAAACCTGGTCAGGACCAGGTTAGTTTCAGAGCACTTGTTATCATGGAAACATAAGTGCTTCGTAGTTCATGCAACTGATTCAAGGCTTAATTAATTCAGGTTTACACCAAAATCCTGGCTTAATTCCTTTTCCTAGATTTGTGCAATAGGCCTCAGGTTTGAATGAATGAGAGATTAGCAATCTTCTGAAGACCTGCTGAATAGTAGGGATACAAGTAAAACRTGCTGGATAGGGGTCCCTGAGGACCAGGGTTGGGAACCACTGCTTTAAAGTCACAACACTGACCTCAGAGAAGGCAAACTAATTAACTGCCATTTTAACTAGAACACTAGCTTACTGAAATCATTCTAGATCTTACTACTGCCATTATATACAAATATACATTCTAAAAGGKCTGGCACTAGAAGGATCCTTACATAAACCAGATTAATCATGCTGAACCATACAGTGCAGCAACACATCTGGATACTTAAGCTACGTGAAAACAAACTTCCATTTCGAATGGTCGCATACACCAGTGGTTCCCAACCTTTTTAAACTTGTGTACCCTCTGAGCCATGTTGTCATACCACTAGTACCCCTCTGTCAAAAGTAATGATGATTCTCCAAAACTATAATGTTCAACAGCTGATTGTTAATGACAAATTTTTTATTTAARGCCCTAGAATGGTTAATTCTCAGACATTTTATTCTTTTCAACTCAAATTAAACATAAAGATAAATACGTTGCCTTGAAAGTGAATAAGTAATTAAATAAATAAAACAGGTAATGGAAGGTGCAGGAAGCAGCAGCGTCCAAAATACATCAAATACCCCAAATGAGCAAATGGCGTGAAATTCCGTGTTTTATACAGGATTCCATTTTGTGTCAATTCTGTAATTCCGTCTGCATTTTCTGCATTGCAGAAATCATAGGGCCATACATACAGTATCTCATTTATGTTTTTACACACCTGGGAATTTTTCCCACGTAACCCCTGTAATATGCTCGCGTACCCCAAGGGGTACATGTACCCCTGGTTCAGAATCACTGGTATACACAACTCTTGAGGTATTCCTGATAAAAGCTCTTTAAAAGTAGGACTGTTCAGTTATGGGAAAATATTAATCATAACCAAGTTTTATTTGATACCTTCCTGTTCTTGTTTGTAATAAAACATTTTGCAGTTTGTTCAGTCGTATAAATGCGTGTTGAAACGACCCTCATCGTTTACTCTGCTGCATCATGTGGCAGGTAACAAACTGAAGCAATACAAAGACACCAAAATATGTTGATACCAGGAAACCTTAAACTAAATATTGGTTTTCCTTGAGTTAGTGCCAACATGACAGATGTGTCAGAGCTCTGACCTGCATGAGATCATGTGTCATAAAACATATCTGTGTTTGGTGTCACACAAACCTTCAGACCTCAGATAATCATGTCTGCTTTCATAGAAATGAAACAGCATAATGACTCGTGGCTTTAAACTGTTGTGTGAACTGGTTGGTAAAACCCTGTTGATGCACAACAATGTTCATTTTATTTACGTTTTGTGTCCTCCTCCCACTAGAAAAACCACTCAGTGACATAAATATCGGTGAAATGGGTCTTCATAAAACTCCAGACTAAATTATTTTATTGTCCAAAAAATCCATTATTGTCCTYAAGGGGGAAATGACTGTTTTTAAATAAATACTTTATTGATTAAAAAACCCTGAAATGTGTAGCTGTTTTATTAAATAAAGACTGCTTAGTGTTTAGGATGCTTGTCTCTCAGATGTCTGTATGTTGCAGTACAATGTGTGTTGCACTTCTTATTTGTTTCTAGTCAAATCTCTCCAAACCGCTGAAAGTCTTGGGTTCAGTATTTTTTCTATCTCCTTTCTTCTTTGGCCAACACCATCAATCATGTTGAATAATTGGTGCAGCTCTACAATACTGGACCACCAGAACTAGGGATGTCCCGATCAGATACTCAGTATGGGTGGCAAATACGGCCTTTTTTTATTTTTATTTTTTATTTGAAAATCAGGTTGAATCGGATTTAGTCGATCCAGTTTTCGCGACAGTTTTCAGCATCATCATGCTTTACAACTGCCGTTAAGAAGTCAAGACACACACAAGAATGCAACCATGTCCACAGTGTGGGAACACTTTTCAATGGAAAACAATGATGCTGAAACTTCATTTTGCAAAATCTGCAAACTGGATGTTTCTCGTGGTGGGAACAGCAGGGCTCGCTTTAATACTACCAATCTTGTCACTTGGAAAGAAAGAAAGCTATTGGATCGGTATCGGAAAGGCTAATCATTTTTTAAAAAACGGATTGTATCGGGAGCCAAAAAATCTGGATCGGGACATCCCTAACCAGAACCACCAGAACCACGACTTGTTTAAAACTGACAAAGCTTCTTTTTAATGGAGTCAAATGTTCCTCACCAGGCTGTTACTATGAGGTTTGGTTWATCCCCTCTAAAATGATGAGTGACAAAAAACATTGTGACTTACTGGACATAAATGTCTGATGGTGGTCACTCCAGTAGAACATGGAGGGATGGCCCAACCCACCCCACATTAAACAATGTCCATACTGTGACAGCACAGACGCTCACTCTCACATATCTGACATTCCACACGTTGTTGACTACAAAGKTTGATGCATAGAAAACCCTGTTCTGACTGAACATACATGCCTGTACTCCGACAAAACTGATCCCCTATAACCCACACAATAAACTGCAAAGACCTGTCATCAACACATCAAGTCTGGAGTCAGCCCGGTCCACACCGGAACATTCTCTTTCCAATAGGGTTGGGCAATATTGGCAAAAAATGTTATCACGATTAATTGTGGTATTTAGCTGATAACGATTAATTTGACGATTAATCCTCTGGACTCCCTTATGTCCTAGTCACATGACCAATTTAGTGGGAAAGATTAGCTCTTCATACAGATCTGTTTCAAATAGTCTCAAAATTACAGACTTCAGGCTATACATCACATTTTAAATTGTGGTGATAGATAAATAACTTACAGAATTTTTTTTAATGTTCATCATATTTGAAGCAGAGAGGAGCACCGAGCGAATTCTGCCTGCTGGCATTAATCATATTAATCGTCAGGTGCCAAAAAATAATCGATTAATGTTTTTCTGACGATTAATTGCAAACGATACGATTATGCCCAACCCTACTTTCCAAAATGACCTGTTTCATCGTAACATGGCAATACTGCTGTTGGACACACAGCAGAGACAGGAAAGACCTGGTGTTTGCACATTAAGACGTCAACCAGAGGATGGGCTGGGTCTGTTACACAAAACTGTCTTTTAAACGTCCAACATCCGAACATTTGAGGGGTGTGTATTTTAATACATCAAGGTGTGTCCAACATCTTAATATATTTTAAGGTGAGACACTTGGATATCCAACCTCTTAATATTTGAGGGGAGGGGACACACCTGTGTGTCCAACAGGTGGACATAAATAACTAGCTTAACTTGTGTAGTTTGAACAGCTGACAAGGAGCTGCTGATGTTGTCAGGTCTCTGCTGACAGTCTGACCTGAGTATAAAAAGCTATTAGAATATATTGAAGTGATTGTCATGAATAAATACAGGAAGTAAAGCCAGTGATGCTGCAAAATACAGCCCCCCTCCTCCTGCTGCTCCTACACAGCGGGCAGTCAGAGCTAGCCTAGCCTAGCACCCAGCCACTTCAGCGGCTCTTACCTTCGTCTTCACGCTGCTCGGAGCCCACGATGGTCTCAGCTCTTTAATGAGCTGTAAAGCCCCCTCCGTCACGTTGTGTTCCTCCACGAACACGGGGATTTTTCTGATGACCGGCGAGCCGACGGGCACATGTATCTGCGTCTCCATCCTGCGGCAGTTAGTTATCTCTCTAATCTCCGAGCTCTTCACAGATCTGTCTATCAGCTGAAGCATTAAAGTGTATGTCGGTTTTTATGTGGCTAAATATGATCGTTAAAGACTTCAGCTCTTCTTCGCCCCCTCCCCTCTGTCTCAGATAAGAAGAGTTGTGAATGWATGGATGCTCGTCGCCGGGTTCCTCCTGCCAGCTGTACCGTTTCCTCCTTCGAAGTTCCACCCACCTGGGGATCATCCGACACTCACCATACAGACACGCCCCTATGTTCCGAGTGCAGCCGAGTGGATCCGGGTTTAGCCGATTAACAACAAAACACCTAAAGTATCTCATTTTAGCTGAGTGACCTAAAGATGTTCAATTAACAAAGACAGCTAATAAGAGTAATTATTATCAGGCCAGGAGGATGAGAGTGTGTCCGTCCTTAAGAAAAATATTGTATATAGCTATTGTAAAATAACTAAGAAAAATATTGTATATATTGTAAAATAACTAAGTTAAAATATTTTGTTGTTAATGTACTCAAGTATAATTTTTGGGTATCCGTACATTACTTGAGTAATTACTTTTCAGCCTACTTCTTACATTAAAAAAAAAGGCAAGAAGTAGAAAGTTGTTACTTTTATTTCATTTTGGCTTGTTTTCATTCCAGCTTGTAAAAAATGAATACTATCCATATAAATTGTGCCTCCTAGATAGAGTGAATTTAATTGTGGTTGAATGAGAAGTATAAATATATAAAATACTGATACCATTTTAGTTTGTACACAAGCAAATCATGTCACACTCCAGCAGGAAATAATCATTCAAATAAAAGGACTGTACTTAAGAAGTATTTGTATTTCATGAATTATATTATTGCATTTGGCCACAGCCCTCAGATAGATTTTTATTTTGAGGAAAAGGTTTGGGCAGCCTTGATATGTGTACACTTAACAAAATTATAAACGCCCCATGTAAAATACACGACACAACTGAAACCTGGATTCATCCGGGAACATCACTCTTCTCAAGCGTGCCAAGGGCCATCGGATATGTGCATTTGCCCACATGAGTTGGTTTCTATGCCAGACAGRAGTGAGATCCAGACCACTGTGATGGCGCCGAGCTTGCAAATTGGCTTCTCGTAGGCGGTTACGGACAGTCTGAGGTGTGATGCGTCTGTTGTGCAGACCAGTAGTCTCATCATCTGTCTGTGTCGCTGGTCTTGGTCAATCCTGCAGATGAACGATCCGGATGTGGTGATCTTGTGCTGGAGTGGTCACACGTGGCCGACGAGGATGAGGTCGATTTGCAGTAGTGCCAGTCTGTTAGAAACAAACTCTCAAACTGGCTATGGTCCAATAATGGAAATTGAACCTTGCAGCTACTGCTCTGGTAGACATCCCTGCATCCAACATGCTAATGGCATGCTCCCACATAGCTTGCAACATCTGAGGCATTATGACATGTGACAAAATTGACATTTTGGGGTGGCCTTTTATTGACCCCAGTCTAAGGATTGTCCAGCTGTTGCTCATTTTGTCTGATCACCCACTGGGCACGCCCTACACATGCACTGAGTAAAAAAACAAAAACAAAATACAACTCACTGAGTAATGCTCACTGACAGCAAGTTAAGATTAAAAATTATACACAAATCAAGAGAAATATTACCTTTGTACAACAAAATGTTAGCAAATGCTCATTTACTTTTGTTAACTCACCATGGCAACAATATTTGACATGGGGCGTTTATATTTTTGTTAAGTGTATATAAACTGAAACAGCTAGACTAGTGCATCCTAAATTTAACATAAATTATTTATCTTAATACAACAGTCATTTCTGCATTTTTTGAGGAGGTCACCTCCTAATAAATGTCATTACAGAAAATCTAACTGCTCATTTTAAATCAATACTTTTACTTTTAATACTTAAGTACAAAAAATATCAGATACTTTAAGACTTTTACTCAAGTAATATTCCTAAAGGTGACTTTAACTTTTACTGAAGTAATTTTTGGGTAAGATACTTGTACTTTTACTTAAGTATCACTTTGTGGTACTTTATACAGCACTGAATGCTGATAATAATCAGTGGTGCACATAAATATTGCGCATGATCAAAAAGAAAAAAAAACACCAGATATTGTCGATAATTTGGTGATAGGAGTCTTTAGTCTTTAAACACCCATCCAATTAATGGCAGTGTCTGCATCTTTACTTTTTATTTACCTGTACCATATGCTGATGAAGAAGAGTACTAAGTGGTTGTATGTTAGCAGCTGTAGAATTAAATTAAAGAGGGCTGAGTCTGTCAAACAAAGAAGTTTTGCCTGGAATTCCACTAAAACAACATGGTACATGGTAGGAGTGGGATATTGAGTGGACAATATTTAGTGCCATCTTGAACAAATTTTGTAACTGATTAATTGAATATTAGATTCAGTTTTGTATTTTATACTTTCTGATCATTGCAGCTTTAAGGCCATAACATGATAAGAGTTGGTGTGTGTGTGTGTGTTACCATGTGTTCTTTCTCTTAGCTTAAACAAAACTGAGTGACGTTCTGACGTCTGACGTAAAGGTAACACTTCTGGGGTGTAACCAAGAAGGGATGAACATTATAAGCTGAATTTATTATTATACAGTAGTAAAGAAGTTGTCAGTATTCTGCAGAGTGTCTGCTCAGAGCAGAGCTCCTGTGTTTGTTTTGATTCAGCGCAAGYTTGTACGCTGAGGCCTGTGCTGCTTAGCGCTGAACGTACCTGACTGGAGTCAAAAGATTGAAAATAAAGTTTTGAAGAAGAAATCCAGCTGAATCCTGTTTGTTTGGGCATACCATTTGGAACAACGCATATTTTTCCAACAATTTGGTGACCCCGACGTGATCTTGAATAAGCAGAGAACAATGGATTTTATTTTTGGCTGTTGAAGAACCTGAGAAGATTTTGAAACATCATTTGCTGAGAGTGAGTACAGAAAAGCTTCAAGATGCCTCCTTTCTTTTCCAAAGAGGATTTCTGCCAGCTTCTCCAAAAGGTGACGGTGTTGGAGCTCAAGATTCATCATTTGGAAGAGATGAATGTTTTGGAGGACTCAACATGCATTCAAATGGGTGAGAAGGCTGAGAGGAGAGATCAACATGGAGAGGAGATGGAAGCTGCTTCGTAAGGTGAAGCTGTATGGAACTCTCTTGATGCCAGACCAAAAAATCTCTCAGGAAGTATTCAGCTCTTAGATGACAACGAATGGCCAGAATTACAGAGAAATGTTTACTCTCCACCTGCAAGGAGAAGGAAGCAGCGACAGGCTGTAATCAAAACAACTGATAACGGCCAGAGAAATGAAGCAGTGTTTCTTCAAAACAGATTCACACCACTGGAAGAAACTGAGTCTGAACAAAGTTCATCTGCTGATCTCAGAGAGGGAACTGAGATCAGATCCAGCTCAAAGCCAAAAGTCCGAAGAGAGACTTTCAAGAATCAAGAAATGCTGATTATCACAGATAAAATAGTAATTGAGATCAGAGGCTTCTGGAACAAGAAAAAAGTCAAAGTTCTGAATTTTGCTGACAAAGTGTCTAACCTCACAGAGAAGATTCTGGAAATCTCAGCAGAATATCCAACTCTGAAGAAGCTCATCATTCATACAGGAAGTGATGAAGTTATGAATCAACAGTCAGAAATCCCGAAGAAGGATTTTATTCAGTTGCTGAATGCAGTTAAGAATCTTAACATGGATGTGTTCATCAGTGGACCCATTCCTACAGCCAAGTGGAGGGGCTGAGAGGTTCAGCAGACTGTTGGCCCTTAATGGATTTTTGGAAAAGTCCTGTGCTGACCACTCTGTGAGATTTGTGGATAACTTTGATCTCTTCTGGGAGAGAAAACATCTGTTCAAGTCTGATGGAATGACTTTGAACCGACATGGATCAGAYCTGTTAGCTTCAAACATGAAGTATTTCCTGAACCAAGTTCTGGCTGGAACCAAACGACAGGAGAGTGATCAGCTGACATCTGAGGCTGAAGGACAGGTGCAAACTGAGACACCAATGGAAAACAACATGCAAGTGGCTGAACCAGAACCACAGAGAGGGGAGTTACTTCAAGCTGCTGAAATGGAAGAACATCTGGACTCATCATCATCACAAACAGAGGAACCAGAAAATGTGTTCCCCCAGGCTACAACTGAAGAAAAACTGACCACTTCTTCTCCACCTGAGGAARCCAAACCATCAACTGAGGATGGGAATGTAAAACCTACATCCAAGAAAAAAAGTGTACAGGATCGGAGACCGCTTTGAAGACCCTGTGAAACGAGAACAGGAGCGTTCAGATTATCGCACAAAGCTACAGGAACTTTGGATGAGGAATATAAATAAATGGACAGAGATGAAGAAACAAGACTGGAAAGAAAGCATTATGAGTCTTATCCCTGATGATGATTTTTTTTTTTTTATGTCTGGGAGGATTAAAGGTTGAATGTCTGGGGTTGGGAAATGTTTAGAAATATCCTAATGTGACAACATATGTCATAACTTCTCTTAATAAAGTTTTCATAAATTTTTTATAGTTTTGACATATTTTATATATGTCAAGAGAGGGA